TGTCAAAAAATTGACCAAGCAGTAGTGTTGTCTTTTTCACATCGCGGTAATTTTACTGAAAATCTTTGTGGAAATAATGTATTGAAAATTAAAGCACAGTAACTTTTCATACGCGAACTTTGTTTTTGAGCTTACGGTACTCCTGATTATTATTCATAGAAATAATTAAATTTTGCATTATAAATCATTTTTTTAAGCTAACGGCAATGTTGTCTTTACAAATCGCGGCATTAAATTTATATCGGGCTAAACATATAAATCTTGCACTTAAACATTGCTGTTTAAATTTTCTAGTGGTAATGATTTTATTCAAGAAAGCACGAAATATTATTGCATTTTATTTTATTTTTAGCTAACAACAATCGTGACATTACACGTTGTCTTCATCCTTGCAGAAATAATTCTATTTCAACAAAGCACGAAATACTGTTGAATTTTAGTTCGAACAGATTGACACGGTATAAATCATGTCTTTATACATCGAGGTAATCTTCGCAGATATCTTAGTTTCTACGGAGCACGAGTAATTATAACACTTCAGTTTTAATAGACTTCATATTTCCTTTTTAAAGTCTTAATTAATTTAGCAAGAGGCCGATAAATACAAGATAATTAAAGTAAAATTACATTTAACAAGCGTTTAACTGTTTAACGAGGTTCGCTCCTGATGTTTTTGAACCTACCGCGCAACTCGAACTGTCGTAATATGTCAATCATGTCGTAAAAATGCAAACAATAATTTTGTGGATTTTGTTAACCTTTTCTTAACGCAAATGAAGTAATTTACAATTTTTTTCCAAATAAAATCAGAATATTACACGAATTTCACAAAAACGTCATGTTTATCGGTTTGTTGTCATCTGACATATGAACTTCCGGTGTTACAACGATATGGGAAAAATAAAGGGATTTCGCACCGCAAAGGAAAGGGAGCGGAGAAAAAGTGTTTCTCGTGCCCAAACCAGGAGATGGGAATTTAGAAGAGCTTCAGCAGACCATTCATATGTCCCCACGCAGGCGAGTGAACTAAATGTGCCCAACATTTGTAATGTCACTGACGAAGTCGTGGTTAGTGCTACAAGTAAGTCCTCTGAAACTGATTGGAAGGCAGGCCGTAGGGTTGTGGAATTAGGCGTGCTTGCAGAGGGACTTAAAGCCTGCAGCAAGTGTGGCATCCCACTCCACCTGCACCATGCGATTGGTATTCAGACATATGGACTTGCTGCCATTCTGAAGGTACACATGTTAAGCAGGGACCGGACCTATATAACATATTAACGAACGCCAGGTCCCACGAATCATAAAAAATAAACTTTAGATCAAATATATATTAGTGAAGTAATAACTTAAGTTTTAAATCTCCCCTTAACCAGGTTAACCAGTTAACAGTGCTGAAAATTTACATTAAACCAGACCAACTTAAATATGAGCTAATTCAATATACATGGCTAATTCAACTTAGAGGCAAAAATTTTAAGCACCACCTTCAAAAATACCTGGTCTGTGTACCCCTGTCAATCAAGTGCATTAAGGAACATCACTGGGTGCTAGAACTTGATTGACATTTACTTATTAGTCCCTACATGTATACCCTGTACACCTTTTTTTCTATGTACTCAGCAATTCTCAAAATTCTCCCCACATGGGGCTTGTTACTGTAATGTTTTTTTTTTATTTGATTTTTTTAAATTAACACAAATACTAGCATCTAAAACTCTTTCTTTTATGTGAATCCCAAATCACTTGTGTACAGGTATTATGACTTAGGAGGGGTGCATATCATTTCAAAATTGTCATTACCGCTACAAAAAAGGTTCCTATACCGCTACATTTAAAAGTATACATCACCGCTTCACTGCCTCCTTCGTTATCCAGCAGCTTATGCATGTAAAGATTGATTTAAAGTATAACATATACATGCATAAGACCTGTTTTCCCTAATAGTATTCTCCATGGGGAGGTGAAAGTAGGACTTAGAGCAAGATAGTTTCTATTTTAATTTTTATTTTAAGTCTATTTTATTTAATAAAACACTTTAGAAAGTTTTAAAACTGAGCATTGTTCATGGATAAAACACACAGTCTTTATTCCTGCTTTTGCAATTTTTTTTCCACGCATTTCCACACTTTGGCTTCACTACATTGTGAATGAATTGTTTTGAATACAACTCATATTCCATGCCATTGCTAGCAGACTTGATATGTAGTGGTACTGAGTTGTAATCAGTAATAGTCTTATTGATAAAATGTAGCGGTAATGATCACCCGAAATTTTGAAGAAATGTAGCAGTAATAAGTTTAAATTTTTCGCAATGTAGCAGTAATGTTGACCTCCCATTAGGAGACAATAGATCACAGGTAGACTGCTAGCCCTAAACACATTCACACCTGTACAAAATAAGCCCCTCCCTCACCTGGAATTTACCACCCGGTAAAAAATCTATGCCTTTAATTAAGCCATATAGCTAAATCAAGAGATTGTGCTGGACCTGGCATGCCTTTTAATTTTCTTTTTCAGATACCTTGTAGCAATACTAACTGTCACTTCATCAACAATGTGGCAACAGGAAAACGTCACGGTGAGCCTGCCAGGACGTGGGATGTGAACTCAAAACTTGGAAATGGTAATTAACATATTTATTTTTGCTAAGTGTTACATTTATGAAGCATAGACACTATGGAATCACAGTGTGTATGAAAGTAATGATCAACTTTTAAGAAACCATCATTTGTAATATGTTATGAAACTCATGTCACTTTTCTGAACATTATAGGAAAACAGCCGTACAGTTGCAAGGAAGTTATATGTACTTTCTGTGTTTCATTGTATCAAGTCTACTCATGAAAAATCATTAATGATTTTCACCTGATTAGGTCAGATATGAAAAATAAATGTTGCATACATTGATCCTTTCTGTAACTGACTTAGGCAAACTTTTGCTCATTTTTGTACTTATTTCTTAAATTTCTGAACAGTTCCTTCCAAAAGCACTATATCAAAAAAATCTTCTTATCAAATATACACTGTCAGTTTTTTTGGAATTGGATGGAACAGAGATTAGCGATTCTGCAGAAAATTGCTATTAATTAAAACCAATGCTGGGATAAAAATCCTAATTTACAGTTAACCAAACATTGCTTTTAACCCGTGAGCTACCCTGATAGATGGTACAAATGAACAGGACAATTAATATAAAATTGATCTTTAAATCTGCTTTTGTTTAAAAAATTGAGACGTGTTACATGTATTCTTCCTTTACTACTAGGATATTATTTGTTAAATACAATTTTATTTACCATGTTGCATTTTTTTATGTAGCATTGATACATGCTGGTGTTGGTGTCACACAATTGAACAGCATTTTTGCTGCCATGAATATCCCCCCTGTACACCATAAGCTGGTAGATAACAGGCAAGCTGAGGTCGGTCCAGTAGTGGAGGCGATTGCCAAGGAATCAGTAGCACAGAGCCTCCAGGAGGAATGCAGATTAACAGAAGAGTAATGATTTTTCAAAATTTTGTTAAATACTCAGCTACATTAAGGAAGGCCTGAGTTAACATCTGTGATGCACCGTATGGGAAGTTTCATTGTGACGTCATTAAAAATTTAACAAGCAACAAAAATCTATTTAACCACATTGATGATGCGTAAATAAAAACTTGCATTCATTTATTTTATCAATTATTTATAAACGCATGTAAAATCACAATATTTGAATACAATACTGCCGAGTTATTAGAAGCAAATCTTGTGTCATAAATGACATCCCTAGCCTTGACTTGATGCAGTGATCTAGAGGAGTGGATCCATTGGATTAATAATTACAAAAATGCTTAATTAAATATAAAATCATCGCCAATGTTTAAATCTAATCAATAAAATTAAAAGGAAATAATTTATTTAAAACAATAATGTAGATTATTAATTTATCTAGGTGCTATGGAGCTGCACAAAGACAGAGAATGTAAAGAATATCGCTAACACGATACGTGTATACCTGATTAACCTCAAAAGTGCAAGGGCATAGACTAGACTGTTTGAGCTGAAATATGGAATATCAATTTCTTATATCATGTATATTTTGAAAAGTGCTGGGAGCTGATTCTGGTCGGCATAACATTATTTTTATTCATGACAGAATTTAAGTGAAGTAGAAATTTTGAGCTATTACACGCATTTTCGGCAAAATTACGAGCATTTCAGAAACAGCTCAAAGTATCTCCCAGCACGTTTCGGGAAGCCGATGTAAATATGTTTTAATATGTATCAATTTTTTTCTCCAAAAACATGCGTATGCCCTTACACTAGCCTCATTTTCTACATTCAGCTGAACGATTCTATTTTTATACCAGTCACGTGACACACAGCTGATACATGCGATTTAACTGGTACTGAGTAAGCCACAAACCTATCCATTATGGATATCTATATTACCTTTCCTACATGTTTAGATTTTTAAAAACAATACCTATTAAGAATGTATTATGGTAGCATTTTCCATTTCCTTCCTTAACATTTTGTACATTATTGTAGGACATGCCTCCATGATTGGTACCCAAACCGGGAAAGTGATTGGATATGGTGTCCGAAGCAAGATTTGTCGAGTGTGTGAGAATGCCTTCAAGGAAAAATCAAATCCAAGACCCCATGACTGCAGAAAGGACTGGGAAGGTATGCTGATAAATTATCATAGCATGGATTGTTCTTCCTTTATTGAAAGCTTATAATTATGTTTAATAACATGGAAACTATGAATATTAGCAATTTCCTTGATTAATGCTGAAATTTTAACTTATTTAAATACAATATGCATCAGAGTAACCACAACAGTGAAATTGAAATATCTTTGGTGTTAAGTTTTTGACAAATCATAGAGATCAACAGTTAGTAATCCTATTGAGATTTACATTATGTCAGCTGCTGTTTTAAGGTTTATGCTTGTAAGTTAAATTAATATGTTATTTCCAATGAACTGCTTTTTGTAGGTAGTGCAAAAGCTATGGAACCAGATATAGTGGTTGAAATGGTTCGAGAAAACAATGCCAAAGGAATTAAAACATCTACCATTATTGGAGATGATGATTCAACAACCATATCCAGACTGAAGCGTGAAGTGGACCCTCAAATAGAGAAATTGTCTGATATGAATCATGTGAAGAAGAACCTTGCCAACCATCTATACACTCTTCAAAAGATCCATAGAACTTTGTCTGTCAAGGTAATCAGATATATACAAAAGTGCTGGAATTACATGATTGCACAGAATGTAGGTAATCCTGACGGTGTGTCAGTTGGCCTTGATGCTATGTCCAAGCATCCATTTGGAGACCATTCGTCCTGTGGGGATTGGTGTGCCCATATAAAAAATCCCAATACAAAGTTTAAATCACTGCCATATGGAAAGTGCCTAACTGATCAAGGATTACAGACTTCCTTATCAGAATTATTTAGCAGATATAAAGATCATTGTCAGAAGTTAGCTGAAATGGGGTCCACACAAGCCAATGAGTCTCTGAATATGACCATTTCCTCCAAAGCACCAAAGAGATATCACTTCAGTGGGTCAGCCAGCCTGAACTATCGTGTGGCAGCAGGAGTGGCACAAAAGAACATTGGACATGGTTACATAACAAAGGTGAGATATTAATATTTTACAAACTCAGTGCTATTAATCCCCCCCCCCCCTTGTTTCCTACACTCAACAGAATTATTTGTGGTTGTGAGAACTCCAAATTTACATCCAAATTCAATTTCCCAGCACTACCGTATTGATTTCAGTTCTATGAACTTTCTTATAGTTCACCATGTTAAATGTCAAGGTCAGAACTTCAGAACTACATTTACTTTTCAATCAACAGGTGAATACAAGAACTGGACTCTCTCCAGGTGTATATACACATAAGATATCCCTTCTAAGGGACTTGCAACACAGAAAAAGAAAAGCCATTGCCAATACCAGACAAGCCAAAAGAAAAAGGATTGAACTGAAAGCTCGCAAGTAAGTTTACATTCATTTAAGTAACTTAATTATTTAAAGACTGAATTAAGTTTCAGTAATCATTCTAATCAATTCTAGTCAATCATTCAATGCTAATTTTTCACCTTTTTCAATGTCTTGGGCAAATCTGATTCGTATGTAATACATAGTTCTACTAGTGTCTACAACATGTGAGATAATTATACAGTAACTTATCAGATTACAGAGCAATGCATTACATGAAAAGAGAGAGGGAACAACATACTCTTCCGAAGTTGGTTTGGTGGAGCAGATCCCTTCTCCTCGCTATATGCCATCAAGGGATCCAGTGGAATTTAGCCCAGAAACACATATCCCTGCTTATTTTGACTTGGAAACAACTGGCCTAGGTATCTGATATAGATTGCTGAATTTTACTTTCATAATTTAGTTTCTTTGCATTATAAACACTTGTGTGAAATATCATGTTGGAGACCTTTTGGGGTCACCTGAGCTACGGAGTAAACTTTTAAATATTTTCAGCTTCTTTTCTATAATGGCTTAACCAATTTCAACCATTTTTATATATACAGTCAAACCTCATTATATCGAACTCAATGAGACCATGAAAATACCAAGACTTAGTGTAAAATACTTAAAGAATAAGTAGTTGGACTTCCAAAGCACTTTGACATATCTATGGTATTTGAGATATTGGTGTTCGAGATACCGAAGTTCAACTGTGTAGCATCAATGGATGAAGAGGAACAAAAATTGTGAATTTCTTGATGCTTGCCTCTCTGGGACAGAGGGGTGGGACAATATCTAACAAAATTAATGCAATCAGTATCTTAAAAAATCTTTTTGCTTTCTCCAGTAGCGAGTAAGCAGTGTGCATGATTATTATGAGCAATGACTATTGGCCCTCATACCCATCTGATTTCTTTATATTGATATAATTGTGATAACTTGTACTAAAATCTTTCCATACACATACATTACAGGACGAACTTCACATATCACCCAGATGGCTGCAGTAGTGGGAAAAGAGGAATTCAGCTGCTTTGTTTTTCCAAGGGAACAAATATCAAAAGAAGCATCAAGATTAACAGGTATCACCATAAAGAATGGGAAAATGTACCACCTAAACAAGGAAGTAGAAGCCAAGACCATTTCTGTTGCTGTACAAAGCTTACTTAATTTTCTTTCCAAATTTGAAAAGAAAGTATTGATTGTTGGACATAATGTACAACTATTTGACTGTCCTGTATTTCTGAATTCTTTGTATTCCTGTAATAGAATCAAAGATGCATCAGAAATTGTTGATGGATTCCTGGACACTTTATCATTGTTCAAATTAATCAAACCAGGTTTGTCGTCATATAGGCAGGAATATTTGTGTAATTCCTTGATCAGCTTGTCATATGATGCACATGATGCAAGAGGTGATGTTGTTGCACTTCAAAAACTCGTGGAACAGCAAGGTGTGAGATTCGATAGTACAGAAGCCAAATCATCCTCTTTCACATTCCAGTATGCCATTGATTCCCATGCATATTCCAAGGAAGTAAATGCCAATTTACCATCCCTGCAAATTCTGATCAGTCAGAAAGTTATCAGTGTCGGAATGGCAAAGAAGATTGCTGGAAGTGGACTGAAATACGAACATCTCCTCCAAGCTTTCAAAAGAAATCAAACAGAGGGTTTATTTGACTTGTGCCAAGAACAATATAAATCGTCTGTCCGTGTGACAAAGTCAAAAAAAGTCATTGAAAAAATGATCAACTATTTTGCTAAATTAAGTGAAAGTTGAAATTTGTTCAAATGATGCTGTTACCATTGCTTTGGTCTTATTATTTGAAGTATGTCACCATTTACTTTTTCACATCATTGTTTAACCTGTCTGCATAATTTGTACATGTGGTTTATTTACATGAAAAAAAAAATGTAATTTCTACATTTGAGAGTTCAGTCAGATGTCGTAATGGGCCATTCAGCATGTAGACAATATTAATTTATTTAATATACAAATTTGTTATGTGATCTCGCTTGTTCAGTCAGATGCAGTAATGTGCCACTTCATATGAAGGCAATTTTTTTTCTGATATATGCTGTCATGTTTGAGTGTTCAGTAATATTTGGAAATAGGATGATCTATATGTAGACATTTTTTTTTTAAAAATTCTTATACATGTATATGTAAACATACTATATGCTCTAATGTTGGAGAGTTCAGTCGGATGTGGAAATGGACAACTCAGCATGTATGCAATTTTTTTCAGTTCTGTTATATGTAAACATTGTTATACGATCTCATGTTTTAAGTTTTCAGTCTAACGGGGTAATGGACCACTCTGCATATACAGAATAATTATTTTCGGTTATAATAATATTATTTGATGATCTCATTTTTGCGTATTCACTATTCAGTCAGATGTGGTATGGGTAACTCAATCTGCATTTATAGAATATTTATTTTTTGGTAATTTTTTTTATATTTGATGATCTTGTTCCAGTGTTTAGTTGGATAAGGTTATGGACTGCTCCACATGTAGACACACTTTATTCATTTCTGATAAATGTGAACAATTTTATGAACAGAATAAAACTGAAAATTGCACTGTATTGAAATTGAAATTGAAATATATATATATATATATATATATATATATATATATATATATATATATATATATATATATATATATATCCAAAAAATGAAAAGAAATATCACAGTGTCCGGTAATTAATATGAAAATTAAAAATAACAAGGCAACAATGTTAGTAAAACGTAAGCGCTTTCATTATACTTCTTCAGACGTTTTACAATTCAAAACAATTCAAACATGTGACGTTATAACACTACCTGATGATAACGTCAACAACAATGCAATGACGTCACAATGCTTATAGAGGAAACAATTATAGAGTCTAAGTAAAATTACTTTGTTCATTAATAGCGTAATAAATAATAAAGTCATGAAACAGTCTATATTAAACTATTTAAGGACGGTTTAAAAATCTTGATGCAATATGATATATATATATATATATATATAAAATTAATGACCAATTTACAAATGTATTCTTATTGAAAGGATGTAAATGGAATTGAGTAGCAAGTAAAAAAAAATCATCGCCTTAGTATGAAATTTATTTTTCCACTTTCATTTTTTTAACCGCTTGAAATGTACATGGTAATGCAAGGGGACCTGGAAATTGGAATTCAGAGGAAATTCGGACTATAAGTCTTTTATTTGAACATTGACCCCCCACTTTTTTTCTTCCATAGGAAATATATGGAGATAAACTATGCACATGTTAAATATAATTAAAATGACATTACTTTTGCATTCTGAAAAATTACCTCATATACAGGTTACCGGTACCCAATATAGGTACCTTGGGTAGGTATAAGAATGGAGCAATTGAAGCCAGTAATATGGCATATTTATAAGCTCAAAACTGAAATTTTACTATTTTTCTAGAAAAGACCCATTTTTCCTTAAAACAATACCAAATAAGTGTGATTAAAATATCATTCATACAATTTTTTGAACTTTTGCTGCATCTATAATGCAAGGGGACCTGGAAATTGGAATTCAGAGGAAATTCGGACTATAAGTCTTTTATTTGAACATTGACCCCCAACTATTTTTCATCCATAGGAAATATATGGAGATAAACTATGCACATGCTGAATATAATTAAAATGACATTACTTTTGCATTCTGAAAAATTACTTCATATATGGGTTACCGGTACCCAAAATAGGCACCTGGGGTAGGTATAAGAATGGAGCAATTGAAGCCAGTTATATGGCATATTTATAAGCTCAAAACTGAAATTTTACTATTTTTCTAGAAAAGACCCATTTTTCCTTAAAATAATACCAAATAAGTGTGATTAAAATATCATTCATACAATTTTTTGAACTTTTGCTGCATCTATAATGCAAGGGGACCTGGAAATTGGAATTCAGAGGAAATTCGGACTATAAGTCTTTTATTTGAACATTGACCCCCAACTATTTTTCTTCCATAGGAAATATATGGAGATAAACTATGCACATGCTGAATATAATTAAAATGACATTACTTTTGCATTCTGAAAAATTACTTCATATATGGGTTACCGGTACCCAAAATAGGCACCTGGGGTAGGTATAAGAATGGAGCAATTGAAGCCAGTAATATGGCATATTTATAAGCTCAAAACTGAAATTTTACTATTTTTCTAGAAAAGACCCATTTTTCCTTAAAATAATACCAAATAAGTGTGATTAAAATATCATTCATACAATTTTTTGAACTTTTGCTGCATCTATAATGCAAGGGGACCTGGAAATTGGAATTCAGAGGAAATTCGGACTATAAGTCTTTTATTTGAACATTGACCCCCAACTATTTTTCTTCCATAGGAAATATATGGAGATAAACTATGCACATGCTGAATATAATTAAAATGACATTACTTTTGCATTCTGAAAAATTACTTCATATATGGGTTACCGGTACCCAAAATAGGCACCTGGGGTAGGTATAAGAATGGAGCAATTGAAGCCAGTAATATGGCATATTTATAAGCTCAAAACTGAAATTTTACTATTTTTCTAGAAAAGACCCATTTTTCCTTAAAATAATACCAAATAAGTGTGATTAAAATATCATTCATATTATTTCTTGCACATTTGCTGCATCTATAACAAAAATGGCATTATATATGCAGATTTTCTGCATATCACCACCATACCCCCTTTGGGGCCCCATATCTCGAAAAGAAGAGCACTGACCTTGGTCACCAATGCCATAAACGAACACTACATATCTTCGTAGAAGTTAAAAAGTTAGTTTTAGACAACTCTCATTACTTTAGACCTGAGGTGCCAACATCCTTAATGTGTTGTAATCAACACAAGTTCATATGAAAGATAATGTACGAAGGATAAAAATCGACCCCTGAATTTTAACAAAGAAAACGATCAAAGTCATTAATAAGGGCGGTAAATAATCAGTGCTCTAACTGTAAAAACAATGCTTAGGAGTTGGTAGACTATTTATTTACCTGGAGGAGTGTTGAGATCAAGTGACAAGAGCATGTGTTCACAACATTGGCTTCGATTGGGACATATAGTATACAGTGGTATAGTGGGGTGTTTACATTGAAATGAATTTACACTGCGTTATTTAAAACCCTAAATAAATGTTGATTTATTGTATTTCATCGTAAAATTGCTTAATTATTTTCCAACTGATTAGGTACATGTGTACTATGATTACGCAAGCACGTGGCAAAGGAATGTATGAACGTCTATAAATAACATCGTCAATGGCGGCCTACATGGAGACGATTATACAGCTCAAATTAATTGTAACTTGTTTTTAATATCATTTAACAACATATTATCATTATCAACAGATTATAAATATAACATTCTCAACAAGCCTATGTTCCAACAATAATTTTCAGAAGTTTTAAATACAGGGGCTGTGATAAACAACAAGAAATTGCCCATGTCTCTAGGTAATACTACGATACGTCCGTATGATAGCCGTGTTTCACCTGAAAGAAAAAACTATCAAAATCCTATTGTGGTGTAAAATACGCACCCCTTTCTCACAAAAACATTTTCTAGGAAAAAAGTGCATATTATATTCAGCCAAATATGGTAATCCTAACGGTTGTCTTACCTTGGTGAAAATCACGAGATAATCAGGACACCTTGTGTAAACAAACACAGTTAATTAGGGTTTCTACAAATAATACTTTTTCTAGGTGTTAAAAACTGCCTGCCATGCGTTTACACAATTATACACCTATCAGTGTTGGGCATGCAAAATGTGAACTAATAATTAAGAAACACCTAATTAGTACATCCATTCATAGATGAATAAAGATAAGTTGTTTTTTAATATCACTCAGAATTTTAAACCAGATTCAAATTCCATAAGATTAAGATTCTCATAAGTTCGTTTTCCTGATAATTTTGGTAATTAGCACCAGAGACCTATATACTAAACAGTTAGTATATACCATAATACACACTTTTTTCCCAAAATAATTTTCTGTGAGAAAGGGGTGCATATTTTACACCACAATGGGATTTTGATAGGTTTTTCTTTCATGTGAAACACGGCTATCATACGCACATACCGTAGTATTACCTAGAGACTTATGTTATTTCTTGCTCTTCATCGCCGTATTTAAAACTTTGGAAAGTTATTGTTGGAATGTAGGCTTGTTAAAAAATGTTATATTTATAACCTTTTGATAGTTAAATTTAAAAGCAAGTTAAAATTAATTTCAGCTGCATGTTCATCGTCTCCGTGTAGGCCGCCATTAACGATGTTATTTATAGATGTTCACACATTCCTTTGCCACATGCTTCCGTAATCACAGTACACACGTACCTAATCAGTCAGACACTCGGTCAAAAAGTAATAAGTCATTTTTTAATGAAATACAATAAAATAAAATTTATTTTAGGTTTTAAATAACTCAATGAAAATTCATTTCAACATAAACACCCCTCTATACATCCCGATGAATGGAAGCCAATGTTGTGAACACGTGCGCTTGTCATTTGATAATTACCCCTCAACACCCCTCCAGGCAATTAAATTCTTTACCGACTCCAAAGCATTGTTTTTACAGTTAGGGCAATGATTATTTACTGCCTTTATTAATGGCTTTGATTATTTTCTTTGTTAAAAATCGGGGATTGGTTAATGATCTTGCTATGGTGTGTTGATAACTACACTTTACACGCTTTTTAAATTTTGATTTTATTTTTATAACATAAGCTATTTATTTAATTAATCAATTTTCAAAAGTAGGTCACAGTGTCCTACTTTTTAGTCGACCTACTCCAAAGACCCAAGATGCACTTTTTTTGATGATTTAGTTTGATGATTCTAAGCCAATTAGTACCCAAAATATTAAATTAAAGCCATAAATTTTCAAAAGTAGGTCACCATGACCTACTTTTCAGCTGTTGTACTCTGAGGACCCAAGATGCATCAACTGACAAAGTTTGATGATTCTAAGTCAATTAGTACCCAAAATATTAAATTAAAGCCATAAATTTTCAAAAGTAGGTCATGGTGACCTACTTGTTAGTCGACCTACTCCAAAGACCCAAGATGCATCAACTGACAAAGTTTGATGATTCTAAGCCAATTAGTACCCAAAATATTTAATTAAAGCCATAAATTTTCAAAAGTAGGTCACAGTGACCTACTTTTTAGTCGACCTACTCCGAAGACCCAAGATGCATCAGCTGACAAAGTTTGATGATTCTAAGCCAATTAGTACCTGAAAATACTTAATTAAAGCCATAAATTTTCAAAATTAGGTCACCATGACCTACTTTTCAGCTGTTGTACTCTGAGGACCCAAGATGCATCAACTGACAAAGTTTGATGATTCTAAGTCAATTAGTACCCAAAATATTAAATTAAAGCCATAAATTTTTAAAAGTTCACGGTGACCTACTTGTTAGTCGACCTACTCCAAAGACCCAAGATGCATCAACTGACAAAGTTTGATGATTCTAAGCCAATTAGTACCTGAAATATTTAATTATAGTCATATAAATTGAAAAGTAGGTCAAGGTGACCTACTTTTCAGTTGACCTTTTTTGAGGACCCAAGATGCATCAACTTACAAAGTTTTATGATCATAGGCCTTAAAATGTCCAAATTATGCCTCTAAAACGCTTTGGAATTGAATGCCTGCAAAGTTCAAAAAGTAGGTCACTGTGACCTACTTTTTAATAAATATGTTTTATGGCCCCAAGATGCATCATCTTACAAGATTTAATGATTCTAAACCTCTCGGTATTCGAATTAATGACCTTAATTGTTTTGAAAAAGATTAGCCATAAAATTCAAAAAGTAGGTCAAGGTGACCTACTTTTTAGTTGACGTACTTCTAGGACCCAAGATACATCAAATAACAAAGTTTGATGATCATAGGCCTTAAATTGTTCAAAATATGCCTCTAAATCATTTTGAAAAAGAATGGCCGCAAAATTTAAAAAGTAAGTCCCCGTGACCTACTTTTGAGTCAACATGATATGAGGTCCTTAAATGCATCAACTGACAAGATTTGATGATCCTATTCCTTATAGTAAGCAAAATATCAACATTTTAATAAAATGTAATTTTTGGTCAACTTTGAAGTGACCTTGAGACCACGCCCTTTGCCCCAGGGTGATGCTTTGAACAATTTTTAATCTACAACATATCCTCATCCTTTTGTGTAAGTTTGGTGATAATCTGCTCAGTGGTTCTTGAGAAGAAGATTTTTTAGCAACCAGTACTTTTGTTTCTATTTTCCTAATTATCTCCCCTTGTTTAAGGGTCACAACCCTAGTTTTAGTATAAAAGGGAGCCATTGGGCCAAGGATACCCTGTGACAAATTTGATAATAATTGGCCAAGGGGTTCTTGAGTTATGGCCCATATTCTAAAAAGTTTATGCACACCGCACAAATGGCCATAGCATTAGCTCTTTGAGCCTTTGGCTCAGAAGAGCTAAAAATATCGTGTTCTGCAAATTTTCGACACTTTATCTCCGCGCCGATTTTCATAGGAAATTACCGCGATTTTCAAAAGTTCAGAACACCGCTTGGTAAAATTTTCTGCTGTGTATAATACAACCAAAATGCGTTTTTCCCCCCCAGTTTCAGGCTCAAAAAGGGGGGTGCGTATTTTACACCAATGCGTATTATATTCGGCCCAATACGGTAGGTCCCTGTTAGCACCCTTGTTTGAGTTTTGTTTGAATAAATTATCCAATCTTTTAAATGGTTAAAATTAGGCTAATTATTTTTTCCATGATCTCCCCATACTAGACCAATTTATTTACATTAGTGAAAAAAACTGGGAGTCACCTGACTATATAGATCTTGTCACGTGATGGGACAAAATGGCCACTATATACGAGGTAAAACGGTGATTTTACATGAAATTTGATGACCGCTGACCGCGTTACACAGGTGACCGCTTAACAGAGTTACATTTCATAGGGAAATTCATTGGGAGGAAATAAAATGACTGCATACGTCAGGTGACCGCTGGATAAAGGTGACCGCTATTACAAGTTTGACTGTAGTTTCTTTGATACTGAGCTAAACACTTAAGAAATGTGAGGTAAAGGTCAAAGGGAAGGTCAAGGTCAAAAAATGCTGACACAATTGAATGGCTCTTATCAATATGTATCAGCATATGAAGTTTGATAAAAGTATCTTGTTTCTTTGAAACTAACCTAAACCCAAAGTGTGACAGGACTGAAGGATGGAAGACAGACATGACAAACACTACATGCCCTGGCCATATTCATGGCAGGGCATAAAAATTGCTTGTCTTGATAAACCTCAATACAATCTTTGTTGATTATACTGCTTAGCAAATAACATTTTTGAAAAATTTCTCTTGGTGAATTCTTTTTTACTCCAAAATACTGTAGACATTAAATTCCATGAGATCATATTTTGGGGCTTTGCATTTTTTGTTTAGTCCATGGGTACAAAATTCCGTGTAATTATGTGCATCTCAAATTGTAAAATGCAGTACTGTTATTATGCCTCCAGTTAAATGTTTAATGACCATTGCTCTCATCATCAAGTACTACTTCTACCATACATAAATTTCACCATATTAAGCAGTAATTATGATATCACACTTTCTTGGCTTATTTGTCAAACATTTTATCTACGTTTTATTGTGCATACTGTTCTTAAGCAATTTTATTTTATTAAAAATTAGAGCATGAACATACAGTTTTATGTTTTAAACTACCCATTTGGTGTTTTTACAGTACAATAAAGAGGTAATGACGATAGGAAGACATCAACTGTGTAAACAAACTTGGGGATTTGAGCATGATCCCAAGACTCTGGCTATGGCATGCAGTTTTACCATGATTTTTCATTGATTTAAGAAGATTAGGTTTATATTTATGTAAGTTGCATTAGATAAATAATTTAGTTAATCATATATTTATACACTTTGAACTCCACATAAATGCATACTGATCCTCACATCGTTTAGCAATGGATATGTTATGCTAAATGAACCTTAAGTCTGCAAAGATGAAATTCCACAGATTTTTTGTTACCGGGAAGTTAGCCTAAATATGTCCCACATGGAAGTGTCCCACATGGAAGTTAACGTAAATATGTCCAACATGGAAGTTAGCATAAATATGTCCCACATGGACGATAGCATAAATATGTCCCACATGGAAGTTAGCGTAAATATGTCCCACATGGAAGTTAGCATAAATATGTCCCACATGGAAGTTAGCGTAAATATGTCCCACATGGGAAAAAGTATGTCTACAGTACTTTAAATTAATATCAGAGTATTATATACATGATGCATCACTTATAGGTGAGCATTAGTGGTAGGTCCTATTAGGGATGGAAAACTTTAAAAAGAATAAGTTAATATTTACCTGTTTAAAACAGACCACAGTCTTTGAGATTGTTCTTAATAATGACGTCTGTCACCGCATCAAAAACAAACTGAACATTATTAGTATCTGTGGCACAAGTAAAATGGGTATAAATTTCCTTTGTGTCTTTTCGCTTGTTCAGATTTTCAAACTGCAATTGAATGTATGCTGCTGCTTGTTCAAAATTATTATCACCTAAAAAAAAAAGATGGAAGGAATAAATAATCTTATCAATTTTATGTGTAAAAGAGAAAAAGAAAAGAATCATGATGCACATGGGCCACAACACTCACCTGAGTAGCTTTACCACTAATTTTTAAATTCTAGTGAAAAGATGTGACCCATATTATGGTCTCACCCTAAATCGAAGGGGTCTCTGAAACAACACAATATGGGGATGCTTCATAATCAATATGACTAAAATAGCCTTGCAGTTATTGAGAAAAAAATTCTTTTTTTGTACACATATTATGTGGATCCATAATATGAAAGAAAAAAAAATTGAATCCACACAACTTGATAATGTTTACAAATTATTGGTTCTATTGTGGTTCTGGAGAATATATATATAAATATATATTTCTGGTCCAGTGGTTCTTTAGATATTTAAACATTTTTTCCTCTATATTTCAATGTAAAATTTTGTTCCCCTTTTGTGTGGCCCCATCCTCAACCTGGGAACATGATTTGAACAATATAGAATCTACGCTCGTCTGAAATGGTCCTGTGGTTCTTGAGAAAAAGATTTTTCCTGTATAATTTCAATGTTAAACTTTGATTTCCTACTGTATTAACATTTGATTTCCTACTGTATCCCTACCTACCCATTGGGGCCATCATTTGAACAATTTAGAATCTACACTACCTCAGGAAGCTTTCACATAAGTTTTATTGTTTCTGGTCAGTGGTTCTGGAGAAGATTTTTTTAAAAGATTTTTCTTATATATTTCAATGTAAAACTTTGTTCCCCTGATGTGGCCCTATCTTGCCCAAGGGAGCCATGATTTGAACAGTTTGAATTTTAAACTACCTGATGATGCTTCCATGTCAATATAACAAATAGCTTTGTTGTACTTGAGAAGATTTTTTAAAAAATTTCCCATTTATTCCTTTGTAAAAATTTGATCCCCCATTGTGGTCCTCCCTATCCCAGGGGTCATCATTTGAACAAACTTGAATCTACACTACATGAGGATGCTTCCATATCAATATGACTACACACAGCTTTTCTGTTCTTGAGAAGAAATATTTTTTTCTATATGTTCTTAGGTAAAACTTTCGATCCCCCATTGGGCCCCACCCTACCCCTGTGGGTCATCATTTGAACAAAATTGAATTTACACAACCTGAGGATGCTTCCAAATCAAAATGACTAAACATGATTTTCAGTTCTTGAGAAGAAGATATTTTTCTATATGTTTTCCTATGTAAAATTTTCGAACCCCCATTGTGGCCCGACCCTATCCCCAGGGTCATCATTTTAACAAACTTGAATCTACACTACCTGAGGATGCTTCCATATCAAAATGACTAATCATGGTTTTGCAGTTCTTCAGAAGATATTTTCCTATATATTTCTATTTAAGACTTTGATCCTCCATTGTGGCCCCACCCTACCTCCGGGGGTCATGATTTGAACAAAATAGAATCTACACTACCTGAGGATACTTCCACATAAATATGATCAATCAAGGCTTTGCTGTTCCTGAGAAGAAGATTTTTCCTATGTATTTCTATATAAAACTTTGATCCTCCATAGTGGCCCCACCCTACTCCCAGGGGTCATGATTTGAATAAATTTGAATCTACACATACCTGAGGATGCTTCCATATAAATATGACCAATCAGGGCTTTACTGTTCCTGAGAAGAAGACTTTTATAGATTTTACCTTTATATTTCCAATTAAAACTTTGATCCTCCACTGTGGCCCTGCGTACCCCCAGGGGCATGATTTGAACAAACTTGAATCTACACTACCTGAGGATGCTTCCATATAAATATGACTCATCATGGCTTTGCTGTTCTTGAGAAGAAGATTTTTAAAGATTTTTCCTATATATTTCTATGTAAAACTTTGATCCTCCATTGTGGCCCCGCCCTACCCCCGGGGGTCATGATTTGAACAAACTAAATCTACACAACCTGAGGATGCTTCCATATAATATGACTCATCATGGCTTTGCTGTTCTTGAGAAGAAGATGTTTAAAGATTTTTCCTTTATATTTCTATATAAAACTTTGATCCTCCATAGTGGCCCCACCCTACTCCTGGGGGTCATGATTTGAATAAATTTGAATCTACACATACCCGAGGATGCTTCCATATAAATATGACCAATCAGGGCTTTACTGTTCCTGAGAAGAAGATTTTTATAGATTTTACCTTTATATTTCTCAGTAAAACTTTGATCCTCCATTGTGCCCCACCCTACCCCCGGGGGTCATGATATGAACAAATTTGAATCTACACTACCTGAGGATGCTTCCACATGAGTTTCATCTTTCCTGGCCCTGTGATTCTTGAGAAGAAGATTTTTAAAAGATGCTATTAATTTTTCACTTATTCTTTATTATCTCCCCTTGAAAGAGGGCGTGGCCCTTCATTTGAACAAACTTGAATCCCCTTCACCCAAGAATACTTTGTGGCAAGTTTGGTTGAAATTGGCCCAGTGGTTCTTGAGAAGAAGTCGAAAATGTTAAAAGTTTACAGACAGATGGACACCGGACAAAAAGTGATCAGAAAAGCTCACTTTAGCCTTCAGCTCAGGTGAGCTAATTACATGGATTTCTTACAGTGTTCCAGCTAGGGTGAAATGGAGGGGTGCCACACCCCGCCCTCAGATCAGTGCACCCCTCTGCCCCCACAGGCGCCCTTGTGTCCCCCCTTTAGCATAGTTAGTGCCCCATATTATTCTGACTGTCCTTTTCCCGCATTAGAATAATTAGTGTGTTCCAAGGCAGATTACCTAAGGACAAACAGCAACTCACACCTCCTGCCATGGACGATTACGCCATGAAACTCGCATTACGGTTATATACTGTACAGGTGCCCACTTACAATTACAGGTGATTAGGTAATTACTTTGATCACTTAACAGTCTGAATAAGGATTAATAGCTGATAAACTTTGAGAATGTTCAAGCTGTCTGTTTTAATACATCTTATAGCATTCTAAAAATAAATCACGAAGTGAAAGTAGCATTAAAATTGACCTCCAATTCTATTTATAATTGATAAGGTTTTTCTGAAAAATGAAGGAATATTTAATATTTAATAGCACAGACACAAATATAAATATTCAATTATTTGCACCTTAATTATGATTTTTAGCACTCTGGAAAGTATTTTAAAAGATTACATACAATATGTAACTGTGTTCTATTTCATTGCACAAGGTTAAAATTTTAATTTAATTAATTAATTATCACACCAACATGACAAATATGAAAAAACAAGCAAAAATTTTTTAAAAGTTTAATTCTCATATGTTACTTCTCATATGTTACTTTATGACCTACAAACACTGTATCTATTTTATACATTTGCCAAAATCAGACTCAACTAGTATATATAGATCTACATGTACTGCAATAATGTAACACACCAGCTAGTTTATATGAATTATGGTGCTATTATTGAAAATAGGAAATAAGAATAGAAAATGATTAAAAAAGAGGAAGAAAAGTAACATTTATCCTAAGATCATGAAGATGATTGATTTTTAAATTCTTTTGTTTACATACTAGCTATAGATTAGTGTGTATTTGTCTTTCATATCAATAAGGTTAAATAAATTAATAATATTTGAAGGAGTTCATTATTATAAGGGTGAAGTAATGAGATACACCTATGTAACAAAAGCTCGCAACAAACGATAAGTTGCGAAAAAGTGCCCTTTTCTTGCACCCCTCCATTTTCAGATCCTAGCTGGAACACTGTTCTTAGATTGCCTTTGTATGTGTTAAATACAATTTTAATATGATGTGAAAAATTTCCACGAAAAAATTTGTGACCGCGTACATATTTTACATTAATCCTACATGTAAAAAAAGTACATCCAAGTATTTTTATGTAAAATTATAATTCCCTCTTGTTGCCCTACCTACTTTGGGGGCCATGACTTGAACAATTTAAAATCTCCCCAACCTCAGGAAGCTTTCACATAAATCTCATTGTTTCTGGTCCAGTGATTCTTGATAAAAAGATTGTTTCTAGTATTTTAAAGTAGATTCCCTACTGTGGCCCCACCTTACCCATAGGCGGCTATGATTTGAACAATTTAGAATCAACATTACCTCAGAAAGCTTTAACATAAGTTTTACCTTTACTGGCCCAGTGGTTCTTGAGAAGATTTTTAATGTTTACATTTTTTTTGATTATCCTCACTTAGAAAGGGGTTTGATCCTTTATTTGAACAATTCAGAAACCCTTTACCCAAGGATATTTCATGCCAACTATAGTTAAAATTAGCTCAAAGGTTCTTGAGAGGAAGTCAAAAATGTGAAAAGTTCGCAGAAGGTGCCGAACAATGGGTGATCAGAAAAACTCGCTTGAAGTTTCAACTCAGGTAAGCCAAAATAGTAGCAAATATACCTATCAATCACCATAATTTTTCATGCATGTCAATAGTTCTCCTTAAGTTTCTAACCTAACTTTGGTATTTTTTTAAATATATATCAAACTTTACCCCCTTTGATATTTCTTTCGTTAAATCATACATGTTTTAGAAGTGCAGAATTTATGATGCAGATAGAAAACTTTTAAGCACTTGAAAAATCTAAGATGACAATAAAATGTCATTAACAAAATAAAACTGCTTCAACACTAACAGTAGAAACTATCTATAAAGTAGACTGTTACCCTGATACTCTGGGAAACAGATGGTAAGGGGTGATTTCTTGATTTTCTCTTCGAACAGGTCTTTCTTGTTGAGGAAGAGGATAATTGAGGTATCGGTGAACCATTTGTTGTTACATATTGAATCAAACAGCTTCATACTCTCCATCATGCGGTTCTACAATAGAAGTACAAACATTCAAATTTCTGCTCATAAGTCATTTTGTTTTTTCAAAACCTAGCTGTATTTGCTGATTTTAATCATTGTAAATATATTATATTCACTTATGTTACTTTATGGTTGTAAAAGTGATTCAGCCCTTGCAACACTAGCCCTTTGCGTAATTTTCTGGCTGATTGTGCATTTAAAAGAATATAATTATTATCCTGAATGCAAATATTCAAAACAAGAGGCCCATGGGCCATAATGCTGACCTGAGTAACTTTAGCACTGCTGTTTTTCAGAAGATTATTAAGACTTTTCTTCTTTATATTCCAATGAAAATTGTGATCCTTGCCCTACTCTAATGGGTCTCTGAATTTAAACAACATGACATACTTTGATATCAATATGACTAACATGGTCTTGCTGTTTTGGGGAAAATTCTTTTCCTGTATAAATGCACTGTGCTAAATCTGATCCCAATTTAGCCCAACTTTAACCTAAGGTCAATAACTTGGAAGAAAATAAATGAATCCACACAACTTGGGAAATATTCTATTGTAGTTCTTGAGAAATTTTTTGCCTATAAATACAAATATAAATTTTGAACCAATATTGTATGTATATAGGGTGCAACTCTACCCCATGGTCCATGATTTGAATAATTTAGAAAGTACATAATGTTCAGAAGCTTGCATACAGTTTCATCTTTTTTGGTCCAGTGTTTTTTGAGAAAAATATTTTTAAAAGATTATTTCCTACATAATTTGATTCCCTATTGTAGTGCAACTCTTCACCTATGATTTGAATAATTAAGAATCTATATTATGTCAGGAAGCTTACATTTAACATTCATCATGAGATTTTGTATGTATTCCAGTGTAAAACTTTTGAGTCCCATCCTAAAAAAAGGCAGGGGTAGAGAGAGAGATTATTTGAACAGTTTATAATCTACACTATCTCAGGAAACTTTCACATAAGTTTCACTTTTTCTAACCCAGTGGTTCTTTAGAAGGCCTCATTCTATTTTTGTAGTTTCTTGATTATCTCTCCTTTCAAAGGCTTGGTCCATTATTTGAAGAATTTTGCTCCCCTTTACCTATAACAATGCATTTTGCCAACTTTGGTCAAAATTGGCCAAGCAGTTCTCAAGAAGAAGTCTAAAATGAGAATTGCTTAGAAAAGAACAGTCAGACATCGAACCAGTGGTGGATTTAAGGGCGCGCCCTCCCCCTAAAATTGTCAAAGTTAGCGTTAATCATAGTTTTGTTGAGAAAATGTAAAAATGTCTGCTCGTTAGACCTCATTTTTACCCTACATAATCTCTAGAATCCAGGAGCTTCCGGGGGCTTCGCCCTGGACCCACTGGGGGCCTCAAGGCGGCCCCCATACCCCCTGCCTACTTCTTGCACCCCCCCAAACTTTAATTCCTGGATCCGCCCCTTGAGAACAACAGATGATCAGAAAAGTTCACTTGAGCTTTTAGCTCAGGTGACCTTCAAATTGTATATGCTCCTCAAAATTTCTTTCATCCAGACATTACTGTATCCTTCTATATATTAGTCACAGTACATGTATAGTTTGATTAAAACACTATGACGGGGAAAAAATCAAAACAAAATTCTCTCTGTTTTTGTTAAATGATCATGCTAAAAAATCGTATCAAACAATGACTGTTTAATTCAACTTAATCTCCAGTTGTTTATACACAATTTCTCCCCTTTTCAATTGAATTTTTATCACTGAATAAACATTTGTCCTTTAATGACACTAGTTTTGTAGGTATGTTATCTCTGCAGTAACTTCCTGATCTTACCATTTCCTGGTCTTCCACCAGTGTTAAGTCATATTCACTCATTGCCACAATAAATATAATAGCAGTCACACCCTCAAAACAATGGATCCACTTTTTTCTCTCAGACCTCTGACCTCCAACATCAAACATTCTGTAAATGGATTAAACTACTTTTAAAACATTTCAAAAGAAACAAATTCTTCTCAACCCAATTTGATTTTATTTACAGACTGTTTAAGCATGCAAAATATACAAATTACTTTCCATAGTATTTATGTATCTTAAAAGTCGGAATATTTCTCCAAACCTACTCTTTGTGATATTTGTCAAATCTTACTTGAAGTGCAGATCTTTGAATGTGAAGTGGGTCTCTACTATGCCAGTAGTCTTGACCCTGGTCCTGAGGACATCTTGTTCTGTGGGGACATACGAAGGCTGGGATATCCTATCCAGGGCATTTAAGTAGCTGTTAACAGATCACATACACTTCATAGCATGGTACAACTTTAAAACACACTCATTATTATTGTACATGTTGAATAATATCAATCTTTGGAAATATGTGTACCAAATAAGTTTCCAACACATAAATATGGCAGTGACCATTACAATATTCTTCACATTTATATCATTTTCTTTCTTGCATGTATCGTACGTATCATGCATTTTTAATTTATGTATTGTTCTTGCATGTATCATGTTGTGTATATCAGGTTTTCATCATGTTCATATCACAAGTTTTGCATTTAGAATATTTTCATGTGCATGAACATTAATCATGCTAATTAGTACTCATCAGTACTTAAATTGTGGAATAGGAATATAAAGAAAATGAATAAATAAATGGATGATGGTAACTGAACACAGAGTGTGACACACAAATATGTTAATAGAAACATATGAAATGATCTTTTTTCTGCTTTCGTCATCAACAAAGACACTGTAAAGTGGAGCATCCTCTCGTAAAACAGCACACTGATCCAGATATAAATAATTACTTGTGTAACTGAAACTATTATGCACCCCCCACCCCCCCACAAGCACATTACAATATCCCCTCAAACTTCGTCATGCGGGGATAACAAAACATAACAATTAAAAGTACAGTAAAGTGCTAAGCTCAACTGGAAGTCTCTGTATCCCAGAATATTATCGTTCTATGATTCAGAAATCACAAAATTGAGACTAATCTTTCTGTGAATAAAGGATCAGCTATCAATGGTCTCTAGGTACCGTAAAGTGCAAAATTTTAGTGGGATGCTAACTTTGGCTTACTTTAGTGGTTTTTTTAGTTAAGTCCGCTAAAATTTTAATTGCTAAATTTGCACCCTTGCGTAAAAGTACAAGAAAAATAACTTAGTAATAATAGGTTTTTATTTAAATAATGTCTTTCAACTGGTGTTGGTTTTTACTTTATCCATTACGTAAATCGTTATTCAAATATATATTAAAGGTACTGAAAATTCATCTAGAAGATGAACTTCCCCTGTTTTTCAACGCCATGAAACTATTTGTCCACCAAGAAAGGTTCTGCCAAAATTATTTGCATACCTTTGAGCAAAACGCCAAATTTTACACCTGCTAAGGGAACCCGCTTTATGGCATAACATCCAAAGTCAGTATTTCACATGCTGTAGTGATTCAGCAATAGTCGCAGACGATCGAAAAATCGTTGTTGAAAGGTTGGCGATGCCGAAAATTGACAGCATAGCACCAGAATTGATAGTCACTATATATATAGCTACTTTAAACATCATGCTAAATATCTTAATATATATTATCTTTTTAAGTAGTGTTTCCTTTCTTTTCTTTTGTACAAAGAAGTCACAATGATTATTTTTATGTATCTTCCATGTACACACATACTTAATGATGAATTCCTGTCTATTCTCGCCTATCTTTTAACCTGAATTTCCTCTGCTCTCACACTTGAAATGATATTTTCAACTTTCCACTCACATTCTGTGTATTATTTTTTACAGTTTAAACAATTATAGGTAAGTTAAAAGTGAAACACAAAGCTAGTGGGTTTTTTTTCTATTCGAATTCACATAAAGAATTGGTATTTTTATTGTGCACACCCATATGCTGTGTATACAATTTAAATTATTTCTCTGAATAAACTGATAAATTCAAATATGAACATTAAGAAGTTAGACAATTTGTTGAACTTTTTTTTATATAAACATGAATAAATTTAAAAAAAAAACAGGAAAATTTATCATCTTTTGAAAAATCAAAATTTTTAAACAAATTTATCATCTTATCAGTAGTTTAATATAACATGATTAATGTCATAACAAATGAAACACGTTGTTTACTTAGTTATCAGTTTAATATTTATATACTATTAAAATTCCTTTTTTTGGAACTAAAATTTAAGCAAGTGTAATTCTTTCCTTTAATAAATATAGTAAAATATCAGCAGATTCCTTAAAACTTAAACACAGGCCTACATGTGTACTTATAAGTTATATTTAGACACTAGTGCCTATAACTATAAACACAATACAGGGCTTTTAATTATGTAAAAAAAAGAAACACAAGAAATCTGAAAAGTCTGATTATTTTCGATTATGAATCAAAATGGTGTTTCCGATTCGATTCGATAATCGATAGTGTTTTCCGTCAGATTCTGAAACACTAATATGCTGACGGTCATTCAGTACCTTTATGCCCCAGCCATATTCATGGCTGGGCATAAAAAAGTAATTTTATAAATTGATCAAGATCAGCTAGGGAATGTTGTGTGAATTTTTTTAACTAATGAAATTGTGCATGGACTGTAAATTGCGACTACTGAGCCTGAATTGCTAAGAATTAGTATCAGTATTAAATTATCACTGTATATACATGTCCATACCTTTAATACTTCGACATGTTTTGGGCCAACATTTCTTTTTTCCCCCATTTTTCTTTTTATAGCAGAAATATGATCATGTCTTCATAAACTCAAGTATTCTGCTATATTGTTTTTACAGCAATCCACATGCGAGATTCCAGAAACAACCAGAAGTCTCTGATGAGACTGTAGCTCTACTGGTCTGTTTGTATAACAAAAGAAAAGTAGCACTTGGATTTGAAACATTGCAACATGCAACAATAAATAGAATTATGTATCTTAATGTAGTCTACTTTTGTGACAAGTTATATTGAAATCAAATGAAAACTAGGAGTAGTAGCGTTTTGAAAGTATTTCACGGAAATTTCTATTTTTAGTACCGGTAACCATGACAACACCACTCACCCAAATAAAAAAAAACAGAAATACATATTATGTATCGTAGTGTATTCTAACTGTGTGCCAAATTAGATTGAAATCAGACCAAAATTGTAGGAGGAGTACTGTTTTAAAGGAATTTCACAGAAATTTCTATTTTAAGTAACCATGGCAACACTGTTCATCGAATTCAAAAACCAATGCAATAAATTATGTATCTTAGTATAGTCTTCTTGTATGCCTAATTATATTAGAAGCAGACTAAAACTGTAGCAGGAGTAGTGTTTTAAAGGAATTTCACAGAAATTTCTATTTTTAGTAACCATGGCAACACCGTCCATCGAAATCAAAAACCAATGCACTAAATTATGTATCTTAGTGTAGTCTACTTGTGTGCCAAGTTATATTGAAATCGGACCAAAACTGTAGGAGGAGTAGCGTTTTAAAGGAATTTCACAGAAATTTCTATTTTTAGTAACCATGGCAACACCGTCCATTGAAATAAAAAACCGATGCACTAAATTATGTATCTTAGTGTAGTCTACTTGTGTGCCAAGTTATATTGAAATCGGACCAAAACTGTAGGAGGAGTAGCGTTTTAAAGAAATTTCACAGAAATTTCTATTTTTAGTAACCATGGCAACACCGTCCATCGAAATCAAAAACCGATGCACTAAATTATGTATCTTAGTGTAGTCTACTTGTGTGCCAAGTTATATTGAAATCGGACCAAAACTGTAGGAGGAGTAGCGTTTTAAAGGAATTTCACAGAAATTTCTATTTTTAGTAACCATGGCAACACCGTCCATCGAAATCAAAAACCGATGCACTAAATTATGTATCTTAGTGTAGTCTACTTGTGTGCCAAGTTATATTGAAATCGGACCAAAACTGTAGGAGGAGTAGCGTTTTAAAGGAATTTCACAGAAATTTCTATTTTTAGTAACCATGGCAACACCGTCCATCGAAATAAAAAACCGATGCACTAAATTATGTATCTTAGTGTAGTCTACTTGTGTGCCAAGTTATATTGAAATCGGACCAAAACTGTAGGAGGAGTAGCGTTTTGAAAAATTGTTTACAGACAGACGGACAGACAGACAGACAGACGGACGGACGACGGACACCTTACTATCGCATAAGCTCTTCTGGTCTCTGACCAGTAGAGCTAAAAATTAATTCAAAGACGCCAGCATTTTCTTTGGTCTGCGCTTATTGTGGACTTTAACCCCACTTATTATGGTTCGTATATGGGGTAATTGATAGCTCTTTCTGTTTGGATGACTTACTATTCTGCTGAGTCATTGAGCTGATATTCTCTTGAACGTCCAAAACATGCCTGCACCCCCGAATCCTTCCACAACCTCTTCATAATGGCTGCCAGCTCAGGAGACAAATCACCTTCCTCAGCATTCCCAGTCATAGAAAACAGCCTCCTAGCGTCATCCTACAAATGTAAAATACAACGTACATACTGCATATTGCTAGTTGAGGATATGAACTTGGCAAGCAAACTTCAAAAACATAGGTAATCAAAGATTACGAAGCTCACCTCGACAAATGTTATCTATAAGTAAGGCAAATTTCACATCATATTTCTTTTCTAGTTAGTGTACATCCCAAAATTGATATCCATGCAAGTTTGGTTTAAATAGGATTTATAGTTACTTGGAAATAGACCTGCTTAAAAAACTTTTAATCTGTTTACTAATCAAGAAAATTTTGGTCAGTTCCAACATCCAAACCAAGTCTGAAAGTTTTCATCCTTAGATGCACCATCTATGCAAGTTTAATCATAACAGGCCGCAATATTATATAGCTACTCCAAAAAAAAATTACCCTGGTCACTCAGATGCATCATCCATGCAAGTTTGGTTCAGGTAGGGCTTATAGTTACTTGGGAATGGACATGCTCCAAAAACTTTAACCTGGTCACTCATCTGGAAAATCTAGGTCAGATCCAGCATCCGAAGCAAGTGTGGTTAGTGTCCATCCCTAGACGCATTATCCATGCAAGTTTGGTCCAGGTAGGGCTTATAGTTACTTGGGAATCGACCTGCTCCAAAAACTTTAACCTGGTCACTCATCTGGAAAATCTAGGTCAGATCCAGCATCTGAAGCAAGTGTGGTAGTGTCCATCCCTAGATGCATTATCCATGCAAGTTTGGTTCAGGTAGGGCTTATAGTTACTTGGGAATGGACCTGCTCCAAAAACTTTAACCTGGTCACTCATCTGGAAAATCTAGGTCAGATCCAGCATCCGAAGCAAGTGTGGTTAGTGTCCATCCCTAGATGCATTATCCATGCAAGTTTGGTCCAGGTAGGGCTTATAGTTACTTGGGAATGGACCTGCTCCAAAAACTTTAACCTGGTCACTCATCTGGAAAATCTAGGTCAGATCCAGCATCTGAAGCAAGTGTGGTAGTGTCCATCCCTAGATGCATCATCCATGCAAGTTTGGTTCAGGTAGGGCTTATAGTTACTTGGGAATGGACCTGCTCCAAAAACTTTAACCTGGTCACTCATCAGGAAAATCTAAGTCAGATCCAGCATCTGAAGCAAGTGTGGTAGTTTCCATCCCTAGATGCATCATCCATGCAAGTTTGGTCCAGGTAGGGCTTATAGTTACTTGGGAATGGACCTGCTCCAAAAACTTTAACCTGGTCACTCATCTGGAAAATCTAGGTCAGATCCAGCATCTGAAGCAAGTGTGGTAGTGTCCATCCCTAGATGCATCATCCATGCAAGTTTGGTTCAGGTAGGGCTTATAGTTACTTGGGAATGGACCTGCTCCAAAAACTTTAACCTGGTCACTCATCAGGAAAATCTAAGTCAGATCCAGCATCTGAAGCAAGTGTGGTAGTTTCCATCCCTAGATGCATCATCCATGCAAGTTTGGTCCAGGTAGGGCTTATAGTTACTTGGGAATGGACTTGCTCCTAAAACTTTAACCTGGGACGCCGACGCCAACGCCGGGGGTATAGCATAAGCTCATCTCGACTTCGTCGTGGTGAGCTAAAAATACAACCATTTATAAAGCAAACAGACATATATATACACATGCATATATGGTAATGAATGTATGTTTTTTATTTATCAAACGACTTATACTTGTATTCATGGTAATACCATTTTCATTTTTTTGTGGTGATGGGAAAATTACCTGTTTTAAATATACATACACATCATACCATACAACGTACTTTACATATCCATCATTTTTCAAGATTTTTTTTTTTTTAAATCATAGTACCATCAGATGTTCTTATACAAAAATCAGCATTACCAGAGGTTTTGAATAAATCAAATGATAAAAATCCTTGTGTTATCAGAAGAAAAAAATACAAAAATTACAAAACGTATAGTTTTAGCTTGTATTTTATCAAATTTTCTTTTAGAAGAGTTGTGTGTATCATTTACAGGCATTATTAAAGATTCACAAAGATCCTTCAATTATTGGAACTCTTTAATTATACAGGGAATAAGAAAATAAAGTTCAAATCTATGTGTCCTTCACCTATAATGTGAAAACTAAAATCAAGTATTGATTAAACTGTACATCTATAATTTCAGCAGCTAAAATAAAGGTACCAAAGAATATGTGGAATCTTCCTTAATGAGCCTCTGTTCCTGGACCAGCAGATTTGCTATTATATTGTTTTTCTTTAAATGTCTAACAATTGTCAATTATTCTATACAGAGAAAACTGGAGATTAGATGCTGTTTTTTTAATTAATCTACTATTGCTTTCTGATCTTATTACAGGTGTCTAGTCTATGTAGACATTGTTAATTATTTAACAGGTACAGATAGGTTCATGCGAGTCATACAATAGAATGTCAACTGGAAGTTTTAAAATACAGTGTCAACCCAAACAAATATTGTCAAAATTGTCATCACCGTGATCTACTTGTCTGATACATCTGCACTTCTATTATATGAACATAATGAAAGCAAAAACTTCTACAAAGGTATATATGTATATATAAATATTTACTCAATGATTCCTACATACTACTCAAATAATGAGAGATTTTACGACTGCAGCCACATGATGGTTTTATTGACTGCAATGTTATCTAATTACCAGCAGTTTCAAAATGATTTTGTCTTCGTCTATAGCTAGTCAATGAGTGTCAATACATCTCTACCTATTTTCTACCTTCTACAATTTAATTGTCACCTGTGCTAGCTAAGATCATCAGATCAATATTCAACAGAAACAATTCTACACACACTGCACACAACCATGATAACAGATTTGTTTCCTCAGATAAGAGATGTCTAGATGGGACACACATTTCTCGGAGACTGAACCAAAAAGGTGTACGATTTTTAGTGTTCCTGTACATCTGTTTTATAATGATGTAATTATCATACTATAATATTGTCTAGATCCCCATGGATACAGGGAAAATAACAAAGTGGCACAAGGCATAGAAAACAGGGCCTATTCTATGAATTAGTGTGAATTTGGCTTGGTAGAAAATCTCCTAGCTTCCACAGGAAATCTGTGGTCTTGCTTTGGGAGGAAGTTTCAATTTCCTGCCACCATCTTTAACAAATCTCCTTGAGAAACTTTTGAGATTCATGGCAATCTTTTCATATAATTGCCATGTACATGATGTAGGAGAAAGTTTATGCATTTGTCTTTTCAAATAATGCTACAAGTCAAGAGCTTTCGATGTTCACATAGGCACATACACACACATACACATTGTTAAAAAAAAACACACACACACAAAGAAAATAACATATTTCTTCCTCATATTCAATGAAACTGTTCACAGCATAAATTTAACTACAATCATTTCACAACTATTGAACTTAACATGTTCACAACAGAATCCTGTAATAGACATGAACATGATTAATCAATAATTATTTGTGTTTGGATAATCAACATGTACAACGACTGTCCAAAAAGTTCATGGACACATGCTATATTTTGTTTACATTACCGTAACCACAATGTCACGTGTAAGTGATAATATTTACATATATATACAATGATTATATTAAATACCAAGTATTTAAAATTAAGAGTGATGCACAATACTTTACGAGTGCTTTAAACATAAATACTTTGCATATGTATACAAGGGGCATTGCCTTATCCAAAATTATATGATGTACCAGAGTCATAACGTCAACATTATAAATACAAGATATCATTTTTTCATCAAACAGTGCTCTTCCACTTTATGCAATTTACATGAATGACTCTGACAAGTATGTGCTATTATATTTGAAAAGTAACTACATATTGTCTACTCCACTTACCGTATATACTCGCCTATAAGTCATATTTTTGGAAATCAAATTTTGGTCCAAAATCTATGTCCGACTTATAAACAAGTCTTAGAAAATTCGGTATTTTTCTTTAAGGAGAAATATAAATTTTATAATAATTCAAATTATAATTGTTTATAAAGGTCAGGACTTAATATAATGCTGGAATGGAAGATATGTTTAGCATATGCATAAAACACAAATGCTTACAAATCTAAATGATCTTAATATATTTGTGGAAATTGTTAATAAAAGATCAAATGGTGATCTCACATCCCAAATCTTATTTTGAAACTCAGGTAATTTCAATAAAATATTGATCTGAAATCGGTTAAAGATGCTGGCAAAAAACTGTACCGACTTATAAGTGGGTCAATTGCAAATTCCTCCAAAATAATCTGAAAAAATAAGACTTAGAGGCTAACCAATTTATAGGAGAGTATATTTGGTATATTGTAATCACTCATTTTGAAATATCTCTTATTTTGAAGTAAAAATAAATCCCCAGTCTCAGTTTCTCATTATCTTTGCAATAAAATATCAGTTAAATTGCTCCAGACAAGAATTTAAACAGAGAGGCTATTTTTGACCTTGACCCTTGACCTAGAAACTTCATTAAAGTTCACTGCACATCCGTTGACCAGTGGCACTCTGTGAGTGAAGTTTGAGCCACATTGGACCGAAAGGAGAGAAGATATGCTCTGGACAAGGATTTTTCACCTTAACCTTAGACCTAGAAACATGGTTCAAGGTCACTGCACACCCTTCACCCAAATACACTCTGTGGGTGAAGTATGAGCCAGATTGGGCCAAGGAGAGAGAAGATATGCTCCGGAAAAGAGATCTCAGACAAACAGAAGGACACATGGATGGAAGGACGGACGGACAGACTGATAGGGCGCCCGCAGAGTGGGGCCCTAATAAAATTGTTGCACAAATCCTATGCACTTTCTCATTTGATAAAAATTTAAGGAAATTTACACTGGACTTTGAATTTTACCATGTTTCAACTCAAAACTTTCCAATTAGTAACTAAACTGCACTGTCAACATTTGCACAGCAATATCATAAATCCTTGGAATATCTTGCTTCTTTTTATACCTTGTTTCTGTAAAACAAAACTAGAACTGTCCAAAAGGGACAAATACCCCCCGCTGGGTTTTTCAGAGCAGGTACCAAATCACTGATGTTTTCTAGATGTGAGAGGTGTTCACAATTTGCTTAAACATTTAGAATGAAAATTCAATTACTCATTATATTTTTTTAATGAATGAAACTAAGGTGAAGCCTATTAAAACATCAATACTAGTAATTACAGTGTTTTTTATTACATTGAAAAAATAGTTTGCAACTATCTGTCATCTTTGTGAGACATGACACTCTGCAAATTGATTGTTGAAAAAAAAAAAAATGATTAATTATACAAAATCAAATTGATCTTAATACCTTTATATCAAACTCATTTTAAAAATAAAAGGCTGGTTCCAGTAACTATGTATTTGACAGACATAAATTACAATTAAGAGACTTAGACAACAGAGATCTTTATTTCTTTCTGCCCAATTCCCAGGAGATATAGATAAGACCTGCTTGATCAGAGATGCCCTAACACTGAACTCATTAATTAATCCTTAACTGGATGCATGTCCACTCATTACTCCCAAGGGACAAATGGATTTACACTATCTGCTGTGTAATGTAAAAATTGTTTTTAATACTTTGTGATGTTTTTTTTTCAGTTCTAATGAGTAGTTTTAAGCTGTAGTTCACATTTTTGTACAGATGTTCTAGAAACTATGTCTCAAACCTTAGACATGAACCTGAAATGACTAAGTCAATAAAAATGAAAAGAAAAACACCTGTAAAATGCAGAAAAATGATCAAATAATGTTGAAAATACCAGGTGCACATCTTCATATGGTAAATAATAAGTGTACAAATTTTCATACAAATCTATGCAGTAGTCTCTGGGAACAGATCCGGACAAAACCACATAATAAAAATGAAAAAAAAAAAACCACCTGTAAAATCAAAAAAAAAAATTATCCAATCATGATGAAAATACCAGGTGCACACCTTCATATGGTGAATAATAAGTGTACAAATTTTCAGACAAATCCTTGCAACAGTTTCCAAGAAATGGTCCGGACAAAATCTTGTCTACAGACAGACTGACATGCTGATTTCAGTACAACTCCCCTAAACTTCGTTTGCGGGGGTATAAATAAGGTATGCCTTTGTGCCAAAGCTATTTTGTTGATGTTCCTTATAACTTGTGTAGTAGAGAATGATGACATCACAATGTCATCATAAAGTGTACTGGCAATCACGTCCTGGGTACCAAGTTTATATTAGAAAACAAGTTTTAACTTTTTCTGTACGAACAGCCCTTAGAAATGTGTATACGCAGCCTTAACGCACTTGTGTTGAAATTGGCCCAGTGGTTCTGCAGAAGATGAACTTAGTAGTTTTTCATGCAATAATAAACATGTTAAATAAAATCCCTTCTATAGATACCCTCACAACATAATCACTTACTGCTCTCTCTGGGTATCCAAACTCAATTTTCAGTTGTCCCATGGCCCGAATTATTGCAATCATAGATTGGATTGTGTTACTGTAAACCACTGGTTTGTACTGTAAACATTCTTCTTGTGAATACCCTTTTTCATGGATAATTCTACAAAATGATAAAATCATTTAATCCTAATAGCATTTCATTTTGATAATATTTAAGAAATAAATAACAAGGTTAAAAGGTTCTCTGGGAAATAAACTTGGTTGGTCATGTGATCAAATCCTGTGAAGCTCGAAGGGCTTTTCAGTAGATTTGATCCTGTGACCATCCAAATTCATTTCCCAGTGAATTTTTAACCTTGCTATCTATTACTTATATTGCCATTTGAGACGAATATTCAAATAAAAATATTAAACAAATATGAAACACAGTGATCTAGCAGTTATTTGGTCAAGGAAGTTCACAGCTCCAACATTTGAATGTTTACGTCGAGTTTACATTGACATTTAGCAATCAAGTTCAGGAAATCAATTATTTACCTTTAACATCGCTATCAAGTTAGAAGTTTCTCTGTCAGTAACAGAAATTTGTAGGCAAACTATCATCTTTCCATGTGATTCGTTCACGCTATGACCTCTGACCCCATAATAACTTCATACAGAATTGAATATATTTTCTCTTCAATACTGTACTTCACCAGAATTTCGTGACACCTTATTTTTGCAAGATAATAGCATTGAATTTAAAATTTTTTCACGAATTCTGGTTATTGTGCTAAATAATCTTTAATAATACTATTATACACAAGAACTTTATTTTTGCGAGCAGACTGCTTTGTGTAATAAAGTTCTCGCAAATTAAGTGATTTACAGTAAGTCTAAGGAAAATATTTGCAAATATAAATATTTTAATAAAACAGTGTATTATTTGAATTTGGAATTATTTTGATTATTGGAATTTGGGGTTTTCAAGAAAAAAGCCCTTAGTCAGACTAACTTAGACAACTAACAAGAATTTCCATTTCTTTTTGTGTTAGTCTTAACTAACTTAGTTAACTAACAATAATTTTTCTAATAAATGTTGGGTTAGTCTTAACTAACTTAGCCAACTAACAAGAAATATTCTAATAAATGTTGGGTTATTATATAGTAATACCACTAATAATATGTTTGAATTCATTCTTTCTCTTTAATTTATAATGATTTTGTGTTTATCAATTTTATTTTTCTTATATAATGTTGTTTGTGCTGGTGTTCTTTTTTATTTGGACTTTATTTTGTGGACTTGGCCTAAAACCAAGGCTTAGTCAGTGTTTGTTCAGTCTAAGCAGGGTTAGTTAGCGCACGCGCACCATAGGGGTTAGTTGTGCCAGGCATGACTAACCCCCTCGAGCCTTCAACACTACAACAATAAAAAACGTCCCAAAATCATTTCAACATCCGTGTTCTGAATATTATGCAGTCTTTGCACTCAAGATATTCAAGAATCCTCACCAACATGCGTAATTTTCGTAATTTCTATCGTAAGTCATTTCACTGGGCGTGTCATTTCAACGTTCTCGAATTTTTCACTAACCTTGCAGTTTACATTCGAAAAATCCCACCTGTCGCGTCAAGGAAATGCTGTAGTAAATAAAAAATGTTAACAATACGATTACATGCGTTGAAAATACGGCAAAATACGAAGTAATGTAGCTGCCTTCGTCCTAAACACAGCCACTGCAGACACAACTCGGCGTCACTTCCGCTGTGACGTCATATTCACTCCCTGCACTGAGTGAGAGTATGTAGGTGGATCCAAGCGTAACGGGAATTGCAATTTCATTCGTAACATACTTAAGACGGTGTTAGGCAATAATTTATCCAATGTTAATAAAGGCATACACATAGAGACTTGTAATGAAAAGTTCTCGAAACTCTATCACGCATAATTTAGTTTTAATGCACAATAAATTATCTTTCAGTGTTTCAGTTTTTATTGCAGCCAATATATATCACAGGTATTTCTGTCCTTCTAAGTGTTCACTTTCCATCTTTTGTTCACTCGTTTTCAATGTTGAGTTTTCCTTGGTGAAGGTTGTTTAAATTTAGGTAAAATAAGTCAGTTGAAAAATTTTAAAATATGCTAAATACGGGATTTATGAAGGGGTTAAACCCCTGTGGAAAATTATGTTTTATGTCAGAAATACAACCACCTACTTTCATGTTTCAAAAATAAATAAATAAATAAAAAATATTCATAAAGTTGATTTGACTTTTGTAGAAATATCACCAAGTACATGTGTAAGATGCAGTGATTGCAACTAAATCTGAAAAATATGGTATTACATCTATAACTACACGTACTTTGCCAATCTTTCGAAAATAATAGCAAATATCTTGTTTTAATAACCTTGCTCCAGAGATAAAATATTTCAATAAAAGAAAAAAGGTAGAGGAAATATATTAAAAGCATGTTTAATATTGTAGGTACATTGTATTACGGATTTTTTCCCCTTGCGATAGAATGTGACCGGTGCCATATGCGGAACCAGGAATTTTTGGAGGAAAGGGGTTGGGATGTGTCCATCCTTTAAAAAATCGACCCCCCAAAAAAGAATGGGGCATCTTTTTATTTACTGGGTACAGTAACTTTATCTGACAATTCGCATTATTTCATACAAGTGTACACAGTGTCTTGCAAGGGTATACGTATTTATATGCAGTTACAACTTAAAAGGAGGCTGAGTTTCCGGGGGGGGGGGGGGGGGGGGGGGGGTAAGATCATCTTTGAGTTACTTTACTTTGTAAATTTAATAACCAAGCCCATAGCAACGGTTTCAAAGTGAAAGGGGGTCAACTTCCAAAAAAAAAATCTGACAAGCAAAAAAAAAAAAAAAAACCAAAAAAAAAAAAAACAACAAACAAACAACAACAACAAAAACCCCTTAACTGACCAATAAATGTGTGTGGGGTGGGGGGCACCTTCCCAAAATAAACTGACAAAGCAAAAAAAATAAACAAAATATTAAAACAAACCACCCCCCCCCCCCCAATTTACTGCCCAAATCCTGGAATTTGCCGGTGCTCAACCTTACATGCAGCAACAAAAAGGGGGGGGGGGGGCAAACAGCATCTAAAGGTAAACTTTCTATAGCTAAATACTATACTCAGAAAAAAAAATGGGGAGGGGGGCGCCCCACCCCCGCGTTTTACGGGCCTGATAACTGAAAATTCAAAATGGGGTCCGGATCTACTACCCTCTTGATCCGCACATGGGTGCAATTGATCTACCATTTTAAATTCTTCACAAACCAATGTGACTAACAATGTTTATGTATGATTCTGACTATAAAAGAGAATATACTGAGTGAGGAAGTACACTTCCTCGTTGGTTATTACTAAAACGCGGAACGGAAAGTGGAACGGAACGGAAAACAGAATATATGATGCCTTGATAATATATACAGTGATCCCTTGATAATATATAAAATATACTAAAACGATATACATTATATATGTTGTTAATATTTAACCTTGATTATCAAGAACGAGTTGATTTATTCATATCTATTCTCATATGAAGATTCCTGTACAAAAACGGAAAGCGGAACGGAACGGAAAACAGAAAATATAATACCAGTTTTAATCCCTTGAAAATATATACCAAACCGATATACATTACATACATGTATGTTGTTCATATTGAACCTTGATTATCAAGAACGAATTGATTTATTCATGTTTATTCTCATATGAAGATTCCTGTACAAAAAGCAAAGCATAGGGTATACTGAAAACACAAAATATAATGCGGTACACATGGTACATATACATGTATATCATAAATTATTATATGATTGAATAATTCTCATCTCTGATTGGCTGAGATCCAACAATGTTAGAAAAATACTATGTTAAATTGACATGCACGTGATCTTCCAGGTCAGTATAAAGAATTATTTATTCTACATTGGACCAGAAATAGATAGGGAAATTCCAAATCGATGAAAACAGTTTTGGAAAATTATTTCACTTGCACTTGACATCCACTCATATGACCATAACATTAAGGCACATAGATTCTTGGGTAAGAGGTCGGGGGTGGGAGGTTGCAGGAGGCCTGCCCCTCTCCCCACCTTTTCAGAATGTTAAGTTTTTATTTAAATTCTAAGGATAAAAAAATTCAATGAAAGCCCCCCCCTCCCCCCCCCCATCCCCTCGAAAAAGTTTATGGACCTTTACATTCCACCAAACAAAATTTTGATTTGAGATAATTCTTTTCCTTTTTCCTTTTTTTAAGGGGGGGGGGGGGGGCTAGTCAAAGATTTGTTTTCAGGTTAGTCGTCATTTTCCCCCCTTTAAATGCCCCCTTTTTCAAAATCAATCGTATATATGTGCCTGACATTTATTTTTTCTACATAGCACCTAAACTAGAACAAAAAATTCTTTTTAAGCCCGTTTCTTTCGTTATGTTCGGCTAGTACTTCAGTAGATGTGAACAAGTAAGATGGCACTGATTGCTTAATAGTGTGTGTCATTTAATCATTGAATCATATAATAAAACAATTGTTGCTTTTTTTCGGTCAATACGATGATTTAGCCACCTTCGAAGTACAATACTCACCTCGCCCTTCGGACTCGGTGAATATTGTACTCCTCAGGTGTCTAAATCCTCGTATTGACTTCAAAGCAATAATTGTATAACATTGTGGTAAAATATGAGTGAAGTAACTTTTTAAAAGACCACTCTGATCAAAATGAATGGCCAGTATTCGATATTTCTACGGGCGAACACAGCCTAATTTTCGATACACAGGCTCCAAAAGCTCCAAAAGCGTGGATAACCATGATATCGTACAGCTCTGCATCCCCATCCCCCATATTTGGCCAAATTGTGAAACCAGAAAAACAACACAGTATAACATTGAAATTGTTATGATGGAGGAATCACACATTTTCCAGAAAATGCACTCTTGCATGAAGAAAGCATAGGCGTCGGAAGCAAATTGAAAGTGGGGGGCTAATTGAAAAAGAAAAACATTTCAAACCGGAAAAATAACTTGACAAGCAAAAAAAGGGGAAAATTAAAAATTGTCCAAACCCAAAAATCTTAGGGGAGGGTTAGGATTGAACTTCTTTCAGTACCATTTTTTTTCAAACGCTACCACTTACCCTTCTTTG